GGTATCAATACTTTTACTGGAGGACTATCTATATAATGCTGTTTCAGTGAAAATTCCTCTTGCTGCCATTAACTTGGGACACCTAAATGTTCAAAAATGAGTAATATAGAATTTGAGAGCACAAGACATTTAGGACACTGGCCATCGTAAGTTTGGACTGCTCAGAATGTGATGAGTTGTAATGAACTTGGTTGCTCTTCATACCTAACTAGAATAAAGGAAAAATGGAAGATAGCATATGTGAGGAAGATAGAAATTGTAACACACATAATTAAGTAAAAATTAAATTGTTTTATGCCATCCACATCATTAAGGTCAACTCTACTTTGAGGAGGCAGCACTTCTCCAGTTATATTTTGAGTTCTTTAGAACCCGTGGGTCTCATCTTCCAGTACTATATCAGACAGTGTTTCACTGATATTCATAAGGTTTTCAGTGTCTAGTTCTTTCAGAAGTAGATGGCCTTGTCCTTCTTCCTAGTCTGTCTTAGTCTGGAAGCGCCACTGAAACCTGTCCACTATGGGTGGCCCTACTGTTATTTGAAATAGCAGTGGCTGAGCATCCAGCCTCACTGTGACACACAAGCCACCAGAACGACAGATGAGTGATGGCACTTTGAAGACTAAGGTGCGCCTAACCCATGCCATCGTATTTTCAGTGACCTTGTATGCATGTGAAGGCTGGACAGTGTATAAGGAAGACTGAAGAAGAATTGATGCTTTTGAATTGTGGTGTTGTTGAAGAACACTGACAGTACCATGGACTCCCAGAAGAATGAACAAATCTATCCTGGAAGAAGTGCAGCTGGAATGCTCCTTAGAAGTGAGAATGGCCAGACTTTGTTTTACCTACTCTGGCCATGTGGTCAGAAGGGACCATTTCCAGAGGGTATCACACTTGGTAAAGTGGAAGGTCGGTGAAAAAGGGGAAGACCTTTAACGAGATGGATCGACACAGTGGCTGCAACGATGGGCTCAAGCATGGCAGGGATTGTGAGAATGGCACGGGATCGGGCAGTGTTTCATTCTGTTGCACATAACTCACACGCTGTGAGTTGGAATTGTCTTAATGGCAAGTAGCCAAACAGTCTGTTTTAGTCATTGTAAACTTTTCTTACCAATGGCATCTGATCCACAAACAGAATCCTCCAGGGGTGATTTATTCAGTGATATTTATGGAACACCTACTATGTGCCATGTACGCTTTTAGGTGCTAGGGATAGAACAGTGAATGAAGCAAAGGTCTCGGTTGCTTTTGAACCATTTCTAATGAGGAGCATAAGCAATATAAAAAAAGTCTCAAATTGTGTGGAGTATGAAAAAATCAGTTTAACAACTAGGAATATGGAAATTAAAATTTAATCCACAAATAGAGCCAATAGACTTCAAGCCCATGTTAGGTTAGAAAGATTAGTACAGGGATTAGAGAGAGAAGAGGAAAAGTAATGATGGGCAGTCCAGTCATTTAGGATTATGTTTATCTGCACATAACAGAAATAGAACATATTATAATCACTTAAACAAGATGGAATTTTATATCTTTAATGTAAAAGAGGTCCCAAGATGGATGGTTCAGATTGGAGTGTGGATTCCGCCAAGTCATCAGGGATTTAAGCTTTGTTGAGTTCACTCTTCTGTCATCTGCAGGTGTGGCCCTCACCCTCCGGACTACTTCTTACATCCAGTACTGCCGCTCACTTCTCATTTTCTAGAGAGTGGTTCTCAACCATGGCTATACAATAGAAACAAAAGTTCCTGGGGAACTTTTGAAAACCCCAGTGCCCATGCCATGAC